AAATAAGAGCGGTCCGGCACTTGTTTTACGAAACTGAACAACAATTTCAGCAGAAAATTCTCTTGAACTGGTAAAATTTTATTTTAGTAATAGGCAAATTTAAAAAATCATTTTTTAATTCTAAATAAATGCATATCTTTTCCTGGGAAACAAACTCTTGGATTTAAGTTGACTTTAAGGAAAGAAAAGCCACCGCTCACTTCTCAAACCCTTATTCTACAATTGTTATTCTATAATGTCTTTTATTGTTATAATTCGTACGAGAGGTTTCCGATGTCGTATGCTACCTATCTCGGCCCAGAATCACTTCGTTTCTTAATTGTATACGTAGTCTGATTTATATCAAAACACATTTATTTTGTGACCTATCTCACTTATCTGACAGTAACATTAAAATAGCCTACGAAATTCATCGTCGCAAGGAGTGCGAGATTGCGCCTGTCGTTTGCGGGAGCCTTGAGCATTAGTTCAGTTGCTCAATTTGCCCCCATTTTTGATAGAAGGCACCCTGGGAAATGGGTCTGAGAATCTCCCACCCTTCTTTCCCTACCACCAACCTCTGGAGAGGACTTTCGGATCGCCCCATATTTAGAGTGCCCCCATGCCGCACAAACAATATACTCTTACAAACATCCATGCCTCTTGCGGAATTTGAACCCAGGCTCTTCGGTACGGCAGTCAGCATAGCTAAACGGTATCCTACTTGGGCTGCAAAGCACTTTAAAAATATAGCATTGTTATTTGTGATGATTATTTTCAGCATTATTTTCTTTAATGAAAGAGATTTCTATCGCCATACATTCTGTACACAATAATCATTTGTCTTTTATATACTTACTTGTCAAGCCTGAAAAGACTCAAAAAATATTTCAAATACAAATAACAATCTTTTGGATGCTTTGCACCTAATTTTATGAATTATTTCAGATCAATACTGTATTTTCATGCTAATTTCGCGATAAGAAACATTTTTATAATTTAGTGGAGCATTAATCCTTGAAACGATGCATGTTTCATAGCGAAAAGACGACTTGCCACTCACTCTGTGTCTTAAACCAATTTTTAAGGCCTTCTTCGATTGGTATACTTTTATTTGAAAAGATTCTGATATGTAATATGAAACTGAAAAATATTTCTTTGAATTCGAATAGGATTCGATTTCTCAGGTGGTAAACCGAAATTACGAAAGTTATGTTAATCTTAATGATTTTACATTATTTTTTTGTTTTTTTACATTTTTGGTTTTTCATCTTAGAAATTTATCTGTTTCAGAAATTTGCAACTCACCGAAACTTTTGCCGAAGTGCAGTGAAATTAAGACGCATGAGTATCAGAGTATATGAGAGCTCTAATCAGTGTTAGTTCGACTATGGAAAATATGTGGTTGCTTGGGTGTTCTCGTTGTTCTCACTTATAATTTAAGTACAAGTCATTTCTTTCTGGAAAGCCTCTACGAAGTAAGCCCTTCGCTTAGGCCATACATGTTCAAGATACTTTGTTATAATCGGTCAAGCAAAGAAACTCGCCAACAAATCAACGATTAGTAATTAATTTATAATGGCTGTTTCAAAAAGTCGCCGTTTTGAGACATTGTTCATGCGCTGATTAAGATCCATTCTGAAGTAAACAGAAATCGAAATTACAGAATTAGATTGCTTCTAACTATTTAGTAAATTTAGTAACTAGACTTGTGAGTTGTTAGTATCTATAAGCCAGTTATGTGTTTGTTCACAAATCGGTAATTATTGTGTTGTATATTATTTTGAATTATACCTTCTTTATTCAAGTAAACTGCTACTTTCTGTCAATTTAGCTGTGTTACTCTTATGCGGCTAACAACATGAAACTTAAATTAGACTGTTTTGTTAGAGACAAACCGACAAATTTAAATTTAGATGTACAAATGTATCTTTTAAAATTTTATCGTACTGGTTTTCTAGAATCGTTGCCCCTTCCGTAATTCATCTTTCCTTACCGAAAGAAGGTTTAAATGCCCTTCTTTTATGTGATGAAATATACTACATTTAATTAATTAATTCACAATGTAATAAAATACTAATTGTATCAAATAATCATGTTTTACGCTTAGCAATGTAGAATTTCAAATACCTGGACTAACTGGTACTCCACAGCATGCATATCGAACAGTTCGGTTTTGATTTAAAAAAAAAAAAAATGTGCAAATGACAAAGGCAGGATAGCTTAACGAAACGAACATAACAACGGCCCAAAAATTTTCGAAAGACTCACTCAGGAGCTCTGTACCATGAAAATATTTTGTAGTACATTCCGAATAGAATTTTAGTGCAAAGGGGCTTTGTTTCTGAAGGACTATTGTTTTCGTTTTGCGATTTTGCGTTGGTTCACTATAAATGTCCGTTTCGCTTTTTGCCATCAAATCAACTGTTGCCATCAAATATTAGAGTCTTACATTATATTTGAAGGAATTAAACAATGAAAAATCTTCATAAATGTATGTATATTTTTCGCATTGTGATAAAATAACGGTACATAGAGCCATCGAATTTTGAATGACGTCATCCTCCTGCGAATATGGGCATGGGAAAGCCGAAATTTGAAACATGGAATTTGTTTTATTAACGGTTTCATATTTTGTAAAACTTTAACGAATTTTTGATTAAAAAACTCAAGGATTTCAAAGCGAGCAATGGCAACGTTGTACAGAAAAAACATTTTTTATCTCCAGCGCGCGAGTCTCTGTATCCGAAATTCTAAAGATATGCTCATTTTAAAACTATTTTGAGATATTGCTGTTGAACTGAGTTTTATGGTTTAAGTGCGAAAAACGAGATGTTTAATAAATAAAAGTAACAGACAAAACGTTAAAAAACGCCTCTTTGGGCGTAATTTAAAATCTGAAACCTTTCAGATTTTTATTTATATTTAATATTTAATATTTTACTTGCTATTTTTGGTTTTGTTAATTTATGAGAAAATGTGTGAGTACACAGTATAAGTTCAGATATTAATAGGGAGAATATTTAAGAAAGGATTTCTGAATCTACAAACGTGATGATATTTAAACTAGAAACTTATATTATAAGGTATGCCATCAATGGTTTTTATCATTCGAGACCTGGGATCGCAAAAGATTTTGCCATAAAATAACGAAAGTTGGTATTTTGGGTTTTTGGTTTACATTATATTGACCTACGAAAGATGTCACACGGACGCTTACCTAGACCAGTAAAACACTGCAAATGAAACACAAAACAGAAAAGTACTGAAACTTATGTGTTAAGAAGTCAAGTATCTCAAAAGATCAAAACATATTAAAAATGTAACATATTTTGAAACTGAATTATCTCTAGCTGTTCTATGATTATGAAATACTGTGTACTTATTTCATTACCTCTAATATTGTGTCTTTGCAAAACTGTATTTTTAGCTTATTCCCCCCCCCCAATTTGAAAAATAATATATAATTAAAATAATTTAATTAAAGAACGATCGAATCACATTTTGCTAAAATAAACAAAAATTTTTATTTGGGGGATGGCAAAATAGACTGTATTTTAACATAATAAAGGTAATTTCTAACGTTTTTATGCGAGAAACTTAATAGTTGGTTATTTTATATTCACTCGAGGTTTATAGAGTTGGGCAAAATTGGTCTAAATTCTGAGGAACTGCATTTCTCTGAAACCGCAGAAGCAACGGTTTCAGATAAACTCAAGCAGGAATGCGTAGCTTTAAAAAATATTAATTTTAAGCTGTAAATACCTTAGTTAAGTAAATGCACATTATTTCCTCCATATTAATAAAGAAATATAAAAATGTATTTAAGAGTATGCATAGTTATATTTTGAAACCATATTGCTCATAAATGCATCATAATTTAAATTGCGACAGTAAATAGTGTCGAAATTTTCGTATGATTTCAAATTTAATTACAGTTCTAAACGTTCTAAACTTAATTGCAGCTCTAAAAGTTATTTCTTTAAAATTATGCCAGAGGCACAACATTTGGCCATTTTGTTGAGATACAGCACGCGTGACAAGCGTTAACCTTTTTACCATACGTAACTCTACATTTATATAAAACTAAATACAGTTGTAATTTATATGCAGTTTAAGGAATTTAATATGAAGAATTTGCTGAAATGCAAATGTAAGCAAACCATCCGGCCTTTTAAATGGCAAAAGATTTTTTACTATAGGTTTCTAGAGCGAGTTTTTAAAAGGTTTTTTTTTTCGAAATACTTAAAGGAAATTGAATTTTAATATAAAAATATAAAAATGCAGTTTTTTTGATTTGTTTAAACCATTGCGCCCCGGAAGATGTGAGAATGCGACACAGGATTGACACTATGTAAGATCTACAGCCTCTCTGCTGGCACATGGCTTCTGTAAAGGCATCGATTGTGTACGGGCTTCAATTCTATACAAGCACCTTAAAATAATAATTTAATGATTTTTTCCCTCTGGATTATGCACCGTTGGCAATTAAGCCTTGCATGTTGATGCCGATTGTATGCCGATATTGATCGTAAGATGATGTCGATCCCAGGCATGTCGAAGTCATGTCGCTCTCGATTCTGCGCAGTGTCGATCTTATGTCTGACTCGATACTGAATACGTGGTAAATGTATTTCAGACTTCTCATAATCATTATTAAAAACATTGTATTTTATTGTTTATATGCTGGTTAACTAAGTGTGTGTTGTGTGCCGGTGTTGTTTCTATGCCGTGTCGTATCTGCGCAATGTTGATCCTAAGCCGTGTTGATCCTGATTCTACGCAATGTTGATTGTAGATCAGGAGCCGCAGAAGTTACTATTTTCGCCAGCAAGCAAGATGTACCGGAGAGATTTCAGCACTGCGCAGGGCTCTTCGCCTTTCTTCTGTGTCCAAATATGGAGGCTGAGGTCGGTGTAGCTTGTTGCTTCGTTTCTGTAACAGAGGTAAACGCTTTTAAATTGGTGACAGACCGGTAAAGATGCTACTGGCGCGGGTTTCCCCAACCCTAATCACAAACGTTTACAAGAAGGCCAAAAGAGATAGGTGGGGAAAGAAGGAAATTGTGCCCCTCCCCCCCAGCCAAGCTCCATCATTCCGATCTTCAGGCCGCTACTAACGAGTGCTTGACACCCTAAATAGTCGCCTCGTTAATTGCCCGTTTAAATCATTAAAGAGCACGCCGAGCCATATCTATCATGGCCAGGATGGACTGTCAACCTTCTGGCTGCGAACGAGCTACGAGCTGCCAGAAGCGGACGCCTTCTCTCTCTATCTCCTTCCCCAGAAGACGAATCCGACTTGTTGCGGAGGAACCGCGGGATAAAAAAGCTCGAAAAATAACTTTGTTGCTTTTTGAATGGATAAGATAAAAGTGCTGATATAGAGTACGAATTAACAGCCGTTTCGATAGATACCTGCATAATATTTCGATGAAACTTCGCAGTACTGTTGAGCTTGGTGCCTTTCTAACACCTATGGGTAAAAATCTGTTTGGAACTGCAGGAACCATGGAATACTAGGCAAGAAAGTTTGGAGAATATTTTCGTTGGTTGTGAATTCAGATAAAGCTGCTCACAAATGACTGAATTTGACAGCCGATGTTCTTGATACTGACGAACGTCGGGGAAATTTTGGTTTGGTGTTGGTCAAAAAACTTCTACCAACTCTGGGAAAGTATTTAGATTTGGAGATTAGCTAGTGCTTCAATAACAAATATTAACAGTAGTCATAAAATATTCTTTCCCAAGATGTAATTATAAATAATTTTGGATTAGGCATTTAGTCTGGAGCAAATGTTACGAATTAGACACTCAAACCATATAAGATTATAGTGGATTAGACATTTCTGCGGAGAAGCCATATTCGCTTCAGTGATGAAATACTGAAATTCTGAATTATTTTCGAACGGTTAACTTCAGCATCATTTATTAAATGCTGATAATTCTTTAATAATTTTTTCATAACACTAACTTTTGGATGACGATAAAAAAAAGTTCCTTTATGGGTAAATGAGTGGCTTAAGTGATTTTTTAATTGGCGTTAATTTAAACATGGAAAGCAAAATGAACGATTTGCCGAGTGATAAAGAACAAAAGAACTGGAATACAAACTTCTGCATCGATAACCTTCTTGGCAAAAACAAGGCAGCTTGTTCTGTACCAGACAGAACTTCCAGAGATTCCGACAATGCGACGAGCTCCCAAGAAGAATCAGAAAATGGTTTGGAAGGTAAGTTTCTGGTTACGTATTTTCATCTTCAAAACATATGGATAGTGTCTAACTCTTTGCATGAAAATCCAGCTTAAGCAGCCCTGTCTATCGCGTCAGCGCAATCTAAGTTGAGGGTTCATTTTCCCCTTTAAATTAGTTAATATTTGAAGTTAGTTAATATTTGAAGGTTAAAAACTCAATATATATTAAGTAAGAGTGCATACTATGAAAAAACAGCACATCAACAACACATAAAAAATGAAAAAAATATCGGAAAAATACTTTTACTGAAATTATAAATACACGAAATGCAGTTTTCTACCAATATGCTGTTACATACTAGAAAAAAGTAGGAAAAACACATAAAGAATTATTTAATTTTTAATAGGGTAAAAAGCACAAGTAAATTTTAATTGATTTCAATGCCTCTTCACTCTATAGAAAAAAATTCATTGAAAAATTTTATTCTGTTTCAATCACTGATAATCCATTTAGTTCTTCCTGTGAAATTCTATATCTTAGATAAGTTTTAATAACTTGATTTCTAAAATGACCGTTCATCTATAGTTACTGAAACTATAACTATCAAACATGCTAGAATATGCACTGTTAAATGAAAAGTGAATATTTTACCAAATTTTCAAATCATTTTCCTATTGCAATATTTTCAGTGGATGTACACTTTGATTTCTTTAAAAATGTCTTTTAGAATTCCTGAGGTGTTTCACAAAAGTGATAGGACATATTTAGGCTACTAAAAAAAAAAAAAAAAAACGTCAAAAACTCTAAATACATTAATCTAAAAAACTATGGAACATGAAGGTTCCAAAACGCTGCAGATATTGTATGTATTAATGCAAAGTTAAATAAAAAAATGGAAGGCTTTGTTGCAGGTAAAATGTTTGAAACGTAATAATACCAAGTTAGTTTATAGTAATATACTGTTTATAGCTTTGGTTTACAATAACGTATGTTATTTTATTATTTATAATAATATAATTTAATTTATAGTTTAAGCAGGTACTCAGATTATTACCTATATATTTGAAGCAGGGTGACTGATGAATGTTTTAAAACTGTACAATGCATACTACAGCCAATGCTTTGACTGTAGTATGTATTGTAACTTGTATTACGCTTTAGTGTTTTTATGTTAACATGATGTGTTCTGATATGTTCGCGTATCTAAAATTCTTCTAGTACATTATTTTTTTTTTGTGGTAATAAATGATGAAATAGATTGACACCTACATACATATAATGCACTAGTGACATTTCTAACATTTTAAAGTTTTTTTTTTTTTTAAATATTTGTAGACTATGCAAATTATCTGTTACATTTTATATCTCCAAAACGTTTTTCCAAGATGTTTATTAAAAAAAAAAAAAAAAAAAAAAAAAAAAACCCACTAGGGAAAATTGTGTAGTTCAAACCCGCATAATTCAAAGGTCAACTGTATAAAATACGTACGACTCTTCGTTTTATGTAAAGTCCTTTTTTTTTTCTTTTTTCAAACGTATAATGTTGAGTTTTAAAATGAAGTAATTTCTCTTTTAACTAGAAAAAGTCATATCCTAAAAGTCTTCAGGCATGACTGCATCTGTAAACAAAATGATCTATAATAAATACAACGTATAAATTAATAATATAATTTTGCATCCTAATGAAAGACAATATCTAAAAATATCGTTGGATTAAAATTTCTGTGTGTTTTCATGTTTTTCTTGTGTTTTTCTTTTTTTAACAACTAGAAAAAGATAAATTTATTAGAAACTTATTGAATTGATTAATGCAAAGTATTCAATAGCTTCTGATGCAATGAAAACATTAATCAGACCATCATAGAATTCAAAATGAAGGCAAATTTTGGACGCTATCTAGGTAGACTGGCAGAGTACAATGCTACTACTATTATAAATATTAAAGAAATCGAAAGCTAATTGCTACGAACTTGTAACACTACATAATTATTCTTGTTCCTAACTTGCGGTATGAGATATCAATTAATTCAGAGATTACTGAAATAGTAATCCGATTTTCTCAATCAAGTGGACCAGTGTGGCAAGTAAAAAAATTTACGTCAGTAAACAAACAGCTTTCTTTTTAAAATCTAATGATTAAGAATTCTGTATGATGCTATAGAGTAATATTTGATGAAAGAAATTATTTTAAAAATGTCTGATGAAGGTATTCATTTTATAATCCAACAGAAAAATAGAGCATATTTCTAACAGCAAAGTATGATAATAAAAGGAATTATGATATCGCGGTGCATATCGTTCATTAAAGCTGCAATCTTAAATTCATTGATAATCACTGACAATCCGTAAAATGATTTTTTGGGGGGTTAGGACATTATGTAAATTGATAAGATAGCGCGACTGTTGTCGCTGCTGTTGGGGAAAGAAAAAAAAAAAAAAAAAAAAAAAAACACGAAGCACCTTTTCAGTATTCAGATTTAACTTTTATTAATAAATTTAGTAAAAAATAGAATATAAATTTCAAAACAAAATTATTTAAAAAAAAACAGTTTATGAGCAATTTTCTCTTAGCCATTGCTCGCGCTCGCAGTGTAATGATTGCTAGCGTATACCGCTGGCAGTCGGAAAATCCGGATTTTGAATTCGGCGAGACTACAGTCAATTTTCTCATCATTCATTCTCTAAAAAATTCTAAATTAGCTCATCAGTAGCGTACCACTAAAATATGGTGGATCATAATTTATCATTCACAGCTTTTGGCCTACTGGTTTTTATCCTTCTCTCTCTATGGTAGTTTTTTAAGTTGGGGAGAATGTAAGGAATTTCCCCTTCGGCACTGAATGTTCTCGTGATATAACTAGTAGCACGTCCTGATATGCATCAGAGTATCCGGAGTTCGAACCCCTTCAATATCATGGCTGTTTTTCTTACATTTATTCATTTCTTATTCAGAAGGATCTAATAGATCTACAAATTGAAATTAATAATAAAAGATTCTGACGCAAAATTAGGCAAAGTTTTGCTAACAGTCTGATAGGATTCATTACACAGATTCATTGAGCAAAGTTTTGAGATATTTCAGCAATCCAAAACACTTCAGAAAATGCTTTAAAAATGTGTTTTTTGCATTTTTATTTAGTGGAACAACAAGTGTCCGATTACTGTAGTGATAATTGTTTTGCTCTGACATGTATCATATTACAAAAAATCATCTCTTAGATGATCATATATAGTTACAGATGCTAGACGATATTTTGTTTTCTCTCCTTCTTCTTTTTTAGCTCAAAAGATCTATTAGTCTCGAAACATGATTTCTAACGTTTCTTTCGAGCCTGTTGTCCTTCGGAAAAACGCAAGATTTCATTCTTTCATATTTTATGTGTCTGTTATTAGGTAATAAACTAAACTACTTAAAAGATTTGGACTCAGTTCTGAAGAATATTACTTTTTTAATGTGACTATTTTAAATAAAACTGCATTTAATTCCTGATATCAGTGAAGTATCCACTTGACCAAGCTTGCCTAATTAAAAACATTAAATATTTTTCAGAATTACATATTTATTCACTTTTTAAATATACAAAAGATATATAACTTTCCCTTATTAGTCTAAATTCATATTCATCTACTATCCTATAAAACATTTCGCTATTCCACCTGGCCATCTCTATTGATAATCTGTACTGATAAACCATATCAAAATTTAAAAGAGCCCTTTTGGGTGATCATTAAAATCTAAACACTTTCAAAATTTTTGTAGTGTTTTTATTTATTGATTTATTTATTGTTATTATTTTTGATAATGGTCACTTTAGACTATTTTTAGAGGTGATATTCAATAACGACTTCATTGATTTTCTCAGAAATACTGATAAGTTTCAGAGATGGTTGTTATCAAAAAGACAGTCCCCTGACCGTGTTCTCTGCATTTAAATTAAATTTATACTCTATTACTTTCGTGAAATGTGCATAAAAAGAACCTACAAAATTAAATATAAGCTATTTTTTTAAAAAAATAATTTAATGAGTTATTTTTATGAGAGGCATCAACGTCCGTTTGTATTTGTGATAAAGTATAATAATTCGTAGTAATTGTCCACAGCAAACTTTCGGTGGTAAAATGTCCTTTTTAAAAATTGAATGCAGTTTTTAAAATTTTAATTTCCATTCTTTTAGAAAAGTGTATATTAATTTTAATACATTTAGCTTCTGCAAAACAGTTCCTCTCATAAAAATTTTCCAATAATCACAATTCGATAATTTGAAATTTTGGATTAAAGCAAGTGTTTTTCTTCCTTTTTCTTTTTAAATTTATTTGTTTGTTTGGGTACAGCCAAGCACACAAGGTGTATCTGCTTAAGGGCAGGTAAGCCTCTGATGAGGTTTTCCTAAAGGGAATGTCTTGCATTACTTTTTTTTTAAAAAAACCTTATTAACTTTCTAAAGATTTTTTAATGTCGTTTTGTCAGATATACGTGTCAAAAAGGCCAAACTTTGTGTTTCTTTTGCTTTACAAAAACAATATAAAAAAGTAATTTACTTAAAAACTAATTATGCTTATAAATACGTATTCTTAATAATTTTGTAATAAAAATTAGTGATATGTAATAAGTTTTTTATACGAAGTTTGTAACGTGATGCTGCAACCATCTTAATTAAAGTAAGCTGAAAATGTTCATAAAATTGAATGCATAATAATTTAAGTGTACCTGAAATTATACCAGTAATAGAAAGGTAAACTTATATTAAACTAAAGGTAACCATCAAGGCTAGTTAAGGTGGCCTACGGATCAACGAGGTGACACGCAGCAATAACGTATAAGGATTATGTTAATTTTATTAACAGTTAAATTTTAAGTTAAAGTTCCTTTCCTGTCGATTCTTAACTTCAACTTACTACTTCCGGCCAGAACGTAGTTTTAGAATCACGGCTGAATACATAATGAGGAGGAGCGGTATTTAACCGCGAAGTTCTTCAGTCTTAGGGAGAGAGTTACTGTCTGCACGCGCCCGCCTTTTTAGGCTCCTCTCTCGTA